GCACCTTATCACTTTTGATCATAAGTTCTTCAGAACGAGTTGCACAAAATATTTATCTACATTCATTTTCGTTTTACACTTTAATTCAACTCGTTACGATTTATTCGCAATTTTATAATTTCAATCGATTCAACAAATTACCACATAATCGTAGAAAATTACAATTTTCTAAAGTTAATAGAACGCATATATTGGTGAATTTACATCACGTATAATTTTTGGAAAGACATTAAAGTTTTAAAATGTGTCGTATTCACAAATTATGTATTTGCAAAGAGCAAACGTTTGCTTGATTCCACGTTCTATACATTACGTCGATTATTATTTCAATGATTCGATCACTCAATGAATTAATATTTGCAACTAGTAAGCGAATATAAAGAATAACCATGTATAAAGAGAGAAGGTTACAAGCACATTATGGAGTATAATAGATTTTATCAGATCCCAAGATTAAAGTCTCAATTTCCTTTTACCTCGAAAAAGCTGGGACACCCTGTATACCACGGCTCGCCGAAGAAGATTAGGAAAATTGTAGGAGAACGTTTTATAGCAGAGGAGAATTAATATCCGCGATGAGAAATGCGATCATTTATAACCCTTATACGAATGAGACTTTTATATGAAATGCCTGAATAAAAGAGTCTTTCCATATTTTTCGTTCCTGCGTGAAATGGCGAACTTTATCGAATGATGCTATCGGCCATTACTTTCCCAACAAAAGTGATCGTTACGTGCGTCATAAATTGCATAAATTGCATACTTCAAAATGAAATTAGTAACTATGAAAAACTCTTGGAGATCAACTTCGTAGACGCACTAACTAATTTTGCTATCGCTTGAATTGCTAATTTTTCATCCGAGCCTATTACGAAAATTTGTAAAATACATTTTGTATATCTCGATAACGTATATGCATACCGAAAATTTTATCAAAATCGGTTGACGTTGTTATGAGCTACAAATAATTAAAGATGGCGAAAATCGCAGTTCTCCACAACTTTCGATCAAAAACTGTGAGAAATTCAAAGAAGTTCCCATCTTTCGACGATTGTAGCTTAACTCTGCGTTAACCGATTTCGATAAAATGTTCAATATGCATCTAAGTTACCGAAATCTACAAAACACATTTTTGAAATTTTCGT